ACACACACTCTCGCTCACACACACACACACTCTCGCTCACACACACAGACTCACACACTCACATACACACACACGGTCACTCATACTCCCTCTCATGCTTACACAGACACACATGCGCACCCTCTCGCTCACACACACGCACAGACACTCACACTCTCGCGCGTGCACACACACACACACACACACACACATTCTGTCTCTCACACTCACGCACTCCCTTTTGATGATCAGAATGTGCTTCTCGTTCTTTCTGTCTGAGTGCTTTCCAGTTGTTTGTGGGAGGCACAGAGTGGCTATTTCCCATTTATAAAGGTCTCTGACGAATGAAATTGCAGCTAACAGCAGACTGATGTGGGGAGATACTAACTGGCTATTTTTTTTCTTGAGATGCTGAAACACAGCTCCTTTCCTTTCTGAGGTCTCCCTGAAGCATTCCCAGACCCCTGAGAGCCAATCACATGGTGTTGGCTGGTGTTGATAACTGGCCAACATTCAACAGACCAACCGGCTGTGAGTTACTGGGTGAATCTCCGTTTGTAACCACAGCCCCTGGCTCTGGCACAGCTGTAACTGCTAGGAGCAGCAGCTATGTAAACCACTTAAAATGAGTGTAAGGGGAAAAAGCACAGGGAGCCTTCAACAATCCCTTTTTAAAACAGTCATTTCAGTCGCAATAAAAATTACAGAAATATAAAAGAAAAAGATACAGCCTGTGCAGTGCGATGGGCTCTTGTGATACGGTGGTAGTGTCCCTACCTCTGGACCAGAAGATCTAAGTTCAAGTCCCAGCTGGTGTTGATTAAAGCATTTATTTGAATGTGTGTGTGAGAGAATCTTCAAGTTGGAGGAGTTAGCTCTGCATTCAGCAAAGCATCCTCATCCTAGAATGAGCTTTACAAACCAGTTAGACATGAGCACCGATGTCTGGCGATCTCTCTCGCATAGGGCAGGGACATGGGAAAAGCCCTCTCCTCGGAAGTCTTCTCCATGGCCTACAGTAAGTCAGTTCCACCCTGATCTGTGACCCAACTCCATGAGCTGTAGGTTGTCTGTAAATCAGAGCAGGAAGGAGCTTAAAAACAGAGGAATTAACACTGCACATGAAATGAATGTTTTGATGTGTCTCCATGTTTGTCACAAGAGGCTGGTGTAAGAACTGACCTGTCCCTGTCTTTGCCTTTTTGCAGTGTCTGTACGGCTGTTATGTGCACTCTTCCATCATTCCAACATTCCACCGAAGATGCTATTGGCTTCTGCAGGTAGGGGACTGTGGCTAAGACAACGTTAGCAGCACCCACTGAGCCAAGCATTTTCAGCGCAGTCTCGTTCAGTAATTCAGACCTCCTCCCAGAATAGTGAGAGCACTCTCTATTCTAGATCATCAGAGGAAATAGCTGCACTGAAGGACTGTCTCTGTCACAATTTATACAGCACCTTCCATTGTCCCGAGGCGTAGCCACACCCGCAGATATTAGAACAAGTGAAAGCTTGATTTACAGTGTGCCTGAAAACAAAGAAGCGAGTTAGAGAAATCGGGAGGGTTAACAACAGGTCCCAGGGAGATAGAGGTGCATCTTCCAGTTAAAATACAAAGCATGTGGAGATTTAGGAACGTATGAAAAAACAGCAGATCATTCAGCCCCTCGAGCTTGTTCTGCTGTTGGCAGAGAGTGGGGGTGTTCGGTGGGGCAGCGGGGGTGTTGGGGAGTGGGACTGTTGGATTTTAGTGGCGGGGGGGGTTTTTGGGGGGTGTCCCTCTGAAGGCTGTATCCTTGCTGGCGTTGATGTGCTAGTGCAGTTCCTCTCCATTTCCCAAGCAGCTCAGCCATGCTTACAGATAGTCGGAGTTAGCAGTCACATTGTGTGTGTGTGTGTGTAGTGGGGGGTACAGCATTGGCAGTGACCGAGTGGGGGAAGCTGGGAGTAGAGTCAGTTGGATGGTCTAACTGAAAGCTGGGCAGAGAGTGGGTGGAATGTTTGAGATAGTTTGCGGATGGCAATTGTACCAATGGTTGAAAGTGCACTGGTTTGCTAAGGGAGCTGGTGGAACAGGTCGGGCAGGCCCGAAACGTCAGCCTCTCTGCTCCTATGATGCTGCTTGGCCTGCTGTGTTCATCCAGCCCTGCACCTTGTTGTCTCGGATTCTCCAGCATCTGCAGTTCCTACTATCTCTGGTGGAACAGGTCTTTGTCTTTGAGGTGTGTCTGCAGGAGACTGATACTGAGTTCAGTCTCACGACACTGCATCAACAAAGACTGCCAGCATCGAATTTCCCTTTTACTCCCACAGCCCAACCTCAACCAGCTAACTAACTACCTGTTCCTCTACAAGGTCTCTTGTATCTAAGTGCCTTACACTTATCCCTCACGGCCCCCTGTGCCTGTCCCTGTCCCCAACGGCCCCCTGTGCCTGTCCCTGTC